ATGCACAATACGGTACAGCAAATGTTTAGAAGTGTTCCAGTATCAGCACCAGCATCTGAGCTCAAAACTAGACTTCGACTGTAATTCACATCGTCATACTCTGGCGTATATTTCGATTTCTTGCGGATTCTTAGAAGGTGGGTTTTTCGAAAAATTTTGGAACACTGTTATGCGCTGGGTTTTTTTGTTTTGTTTGCAGTGCAGTACAGTAATCCTAGAAGTGGATAGAGTGACAATTACGAAAAATTTAATCCTCTACTGCAATGCACACAAATCCTAGTATACTGTATATGGTGATGCTCCACGAACAATTATCTTTCGATGCACCTTTCAGTGCTGGCAAATTATACAATCTTGTAACATAAGCATCGAATGGAACAAAGAAAGACCGAAGTCCGAAATTATTGTTCGTCAGGGTTTTTCTTGATTCGAGGATGGCTCAGGAATTATTACCAGCGCTTTAGGCATCTCTTAATTACATAATGACCACAGAATTCAAAGGTGTGTCAGCACTTGCTTCAAAAGTATTGCCGAAATTGACTTTGACCCGCGTTCTTTCCTGGACCAAGAAAGAACGTGGAAGACGTTCGTAATTCTCGTGACGTCATTAAGTCATATACGGTAACTAGCATTTTCGTTTTTTTATCTTATTTTTGTGAGATGGTCGCTAAAAATAAAGCAAGAAACAGTTCAAGGATATTTATGGCTTACGCCGGTCTGAACTCAAATCATGTACAATTTTAAAACTCGAACAGACTTTCTTTTTTGAAAAATACCCGACGTATTATTTAGCCATCATCAATTCTTGGTCAAACATGATTTTTTTTCCATCCGTGCATGTTAATTTCGAGCTTTAAATCGTTCATTAATAAAAAATGAATCGCCGAGAGGGAGAATAATCTTCAGTGCAATACCAAATAATATGAACCACAGTACTGTATCACATTAATGTAATTTGAAATTTTACGGCAACTGTGGAGAACTCATTTGCAGTAAAATCTTTCACCCGGAACTCATCACCTCTTGTGGTACCAGGAATGGTTCAACTGTTTTAATGCTACTGTACCACGATGCATCTTTCTTCGAGTACTCAAGTCAAAGCCTTAAAATTAGTTGGATAAATACAAAAAAAATTAGAGCGAATTTGTAATCGTTCGCGAAAGACGTCTTTCAATTGTTCATTTCATTGGAAACTTATTGCTCGTAAACTGATATTTTATTGGAACGTATGTACACTGAAGGCTCTCACGAAGTGCCGAAATCATGCCACGGTTTTTCATCTAAACGCGGGTTTTCGAATTCGGTCGGTATCACCAAAAATATGTAAAATTTATTCTTGCTTTCAATTTAAGACAATTCAAAATTAATCACAGTGATACGATGCTTTGTCACTCCGCATCTTCTTTCCTCGTCGATTTGGGAAAGAATTTATTAGGACGTGAGACAGGAAATGTTTATACCGTATATTCATATGTGTAAGGTTTACGAAGTGGTCATCTCCATCCTCAGAATGAAAATAATATGCTAAATACTGAATAAACCAACCAGAAAACTTGTCGTTTTCTATAGGACTCCGCTCTTGTCTTATGAATCACTGATTTATTCAAAGCTGGGCTACCAACAGTGAACAGTTCAATGCTTCTATAAAAGTGGATTTTAACTAATGTATATTTCATCGAAAAATTGGCCATGAAACGGGACTCATTATTGCTATTGTCGAGCAGCGGGTTTCTCAGAAGTGTGTCATGAATGTCGTTTGCTATATATATTTTTTTGTGAAACTTGGTACATTATGGGAGCGATTTGTTTTTCTTGTCTCTCCCCGGATTTTCCTCCAGTCAGAAAAATCGCGTCACGTCGACTTTATTTCTGTGCCGCGAAACCGTATCTCGTGAGAGTGTATCAACAATTTATCAGAAGCATAAAAAAACAAAAGGAGAAGAAGAAATAAAATGGAAAACGTCGTTCTTGTCACAGTGACCCGTTTCGCGTTAATGCACGCGCACGACAAACAGCGGCATTCCTATTATTCGCGCGACGTGTCGCGATTTGTGTGCGTGCTGCTGGAGAAGTGATCGTTCGTCGACTTGTGTTTCTGTCGTTATTGTTGTTTTTTGACGTTCTTGTTGTTGTTGTTTGTTGGTATTAGCGTGTCGTGGGTTGTCGGGATCGCCTAAGCGTTTGCTGTTCGGTGGACGGGAAACCGGACGCGTGATGTAAGTTTCTTGTTTGCCAGGACGTGCGATTGCAAGTCCGCCTTGGTTTCCTTCTTTTTACTCCTGTTTTTCCTTCCGGCCGTGGCGGTTGTTTCTTTGGGATCTCACCCGGAAACATGTAAATCTTGGAGATTCTTTTTTTTTTTTAATCATTACTGTATTTATATTCCATTTTTTGTGACTCGCGTGAAAATATGTAAATTCAAACCTATCAAGTCGAACTTGAAGGGATCAGCAAAAAATTATTGAGTTAGTGAGGCTTCAACTAATGGAATTTTTTCCTGAAAATTGGTGTAAAAATTAGAGGAAACGAAAATGCGAAATTTTTTGGCGGTAAACTGCAGAATAAATGAGTTGACAGGATGCTGAATTTGACGGCTGGGGTTCATTTGTCCAGATAGTCCTTCACTTTCTTTCGAAACAAATCAAGTTACATTTTTATTGCTTTTCTCATTCCTGTGTCATAGTGTCAATAACATTATGGTCAAATATCCTCAGGGAAATTTTGGAGGTTTAAGGGGGGACGTTTTTGAGCCGGTGAGTTTTTATTGCATTGTTTCTAAGGAAATTCTGATATGGCCGTGAAAATTTTTGACATTGGGAGGTTCGAGATTTGTCGCGGTTCAACTCTATTGCAATGCTGAATCAAATGTGAGATGCTTTTTAGGCAAAAAATCAGCTTCGAAGAAAGTGGAATAAAAGAAATCTTTACCTATGCAGGTAAATCAGATCCTTGTTTCTGACCGAAACCATCATATGCGTAAGTAAGGTTTTGAGTACAGTACGATTAAATTAATCCTTGGCAACTTTATAAGAGCACTTGAGCTGGAATCCAGACTTTAATCTAAAATGCGAGAGAAGTTAGGCTGGTAACTGAAACAGTAAAATCAACGAATTGTCGGGAATCCTTCTCAATAAATTGACTGCAGTAAGAAAAAAAACATTTGAATCAGGAGGACAATTTTTTCCATTTTTTAAGATCAAGAAAAGTGCATTGCTTAATGGATAGCTGCTTCTGCCTGCGTAAAAAGGCATGAGACCCGCAAAAATATCTTCAATCACTTAGTTTTTCGTTCTTCGATTCACCACATCATTTTAGAATCTCCTTTTGAATGAACTGCATCTCCCACGGCACTTGTCATACGATTTATTTTTCAAATGAGATTTTTTGTGCAGAAGTGGTAGTTACAAGTAAGTATAGTTTTTTGTTGCTGAAAATTGCTCCTGAAAGTATCCGCGTTTGAGTTCGGAAACCGTTGTCGTTATTCCGAACACATACCATAAAACTCGTGTGGTAGGATACACTTCAAATAAGATCCGGTGTTCTCTCCAGCGTTCAATGGATTTGGGGATCAGAAGAAAAATACCGTAACTGAACCCAAAGAACTGTATTTAAGCTGAGGGCATTCCTTCGAGTATTGCAGTGTTTTGAAAGAGGCACCAAATGCCAGAGGAACCCATCAAACAGCCCAGCAAAAAAGGGCCGCGAACCATGACGAGGTGGTTCCGAGAACCCCAACCCAGATTATCTTTGTGAACAACTATATGGCATTGCTTGCGCTGGGCTTTTTTTTTCTGCAAGAGGAAAATAAATAGGACAGAGGTGTTTTCCCCATCTAATTGCTTTTTTTTCTGTGAAATTCTAAAAATAGCTTTCAATTATAGGTTGTTGCTGTTTTACTTGACCCTTCTGTTGCCACCCAACTGTTGAGCGGAAATTCAGGAATCATCATGGGAATACTGTAATCTAGATTCTGGGTTTTTTTTTTTTTTTTTTCGAATTTTTCTATTTTCATCAGTTAAAAGGCCCAAAATATTTCCCTTTTTTTCTTAGTGCGCAGTGCTAGTAACAAAGGTAAACATTTGCTTTTTGATAAGTTTAATTTTGTTATCTCATTTCCTGAGTGAGGCGTGATTCTCCTGGGTCATGATGAATTTATGGGATTTTTTCTGTGGATTTTATACAGTAGTTGTAAAATTTCCGAGTAAGATAGAGAAGTTGGATTGAGTAATAGCAAAGATAACACCTACAGTTGCCTCTTTTCCTCCATGTTGTGGAGATGCTTCTGCTTTTTGTTGTTTTAGGATGCATACATATTTTATATACGAAACAGCAGGACACGGAAATAATTGTCGTTCATCTCACCAAAGGGAGTAAAATATCGATCAAAGAGAAATATGCATTTGCAACAAATGTGTCAAATGTAAGTCACAAAATGAATGCGCAAAGAAACATAAATGCTGGCTGCAGTCCTGAAGTTTTTTTTTTAAAGTGATCTTTTGAGTTTGCAGTTTGAGTTTCGTGTATGAATAATTTTGTTCGAGCAATTTTCAATCTATTCATTCCAACAGGAGAATCTAAAAATGCACGCAATTCTTGAGAGTGCCTGGGAGAAGCTTATATTTTAGTTTTTTGAAAAAAATTTTGTATTACATTTGCAAATTTTTGGCACTGGTTTTTGGCAACAGGTGTTTGATGCCTGTTGGTTAGCTGAAGCGGAAAATTTGGCGTTGAATTCTGATAGTTTATTGTAGCAATCGCTGATTCAAATCACTGTATACAGCATAATTAAAAAACCCAACAATATTATCAACGCATTTACGTGGGAGCGTTTTCACTCAACTGCGCAAGTTTTTTGTTGTGACATCTGCTGCTTCAAATTTCAGTGCACAGCATATGCAGTATTTTTTTAAATCCAGCAGAATTATCTGGGAATGGCCGATTTGTAGGATGACGTACTTCAGCAGAATTTCTTCTAGAAATTCCCCGGTATTTCCGCCTAACCTTCGGAAACATAAAAATTAAGGAAATTGGTTTGATGTGTTCTTCCAGCTTGAAAAAAAATTTAGGATTAAAAATATTTTTGCAGGATTATTTTCAATTGCATTTTTACTTCGAGGACTGTTGAATTTTGAAAGGGTATCTCGAATATCGTTTCACAGACGCTAATTGCCTCTTTACGTTGGTTGAAGCCACATTCAAAGGGATAATCCAGTGCAATTTCGGGCATTAGATGGTGATAAATTGCTTTGTGTTTAAATTGATTTCAAATTGTAATTGCAGTCATACGCTTGCAATGAAAAACAGAAGTCTGTCATGAAAATTGTATCTTGATCACCCATTACGTAGTCATCGTAGTTACGTGTTCTACCGCGATTCACTTCGCTGAATTGGAGGAAAAAGCAGTCTCTGGAGAATTTCGGTTCCTCTTTGTTCGACCTTGTACTGTAATTTGTTCTTGTTCCCATAAATCAGTCGCAAAATATCAACGAATGACGGGAACCCAGTTATGGGTGCTTTGAACCAATTTATTTTCTGGCAAAAAAAACCGCGCGAAAAAAGGGGTGCGTGAAATGTTATTCACGTATCCCAACCCCGAAGGGTGAGACAAATTTTATGAATACTTCCGTAAAGCTTATCAAAATTTTTAGGAAGTGTTTGATGACTTCAAAGGCTTGGCCTGATGATGTCAAGTACTTGACCCGAATCGTTCCCTGACTCATTAAAGGCCTCACCCGTGCAGAAAGAACCGTTACGCAGTCTTTGTTCTGTCAGCAAATTTTGTTTTTCAGCTCATTTTGTGGCGAACCTGAGCAGATTATTTTATTGTGTGACGCAATCTTTGTGATCTAATGAAACATTTGACAGGTTCCTTGGTTTTCTCACTTCGCACGAATTCCTACATGAAAACATCGCTCGTAACCTCTCAACAGGTACCCATGGACTTTCTACGAAATTTCAGTCGACAGAAAAATAAATCTTCATAAATGCAGTAATTTTGTTATGGAAAATCCGCTGAACAATGAAATGAAAAAAATCGTGAAGAACCATACAAATTCGTTGTTGGGAGAATATCGCTGTCTTTTTAAGATGGAGTCCACGAGGGGTTTAACAAAAGTTCTCGGGATATAAATTAGAACAGCATGCGATTGAGCTGGAAAAAAAAAATTTCAGAAAAAACCGTTTACATAAGTAAGAAAAAATGAGTCCTGTTTGACATATTTTAAGGAAATGTTTTGCAGAAGTCACAGTGGCAGCTTTTTGCTCTTCCCTCAAAAGATGAGGCGCCCATCTCGCAGATATTTTTTTGCTTAGTCCAGATTCTTCTCCGGAATTCTTGAAATCGACATGCCATTTATTTCAAAGGTTGCCTCCAGGTCTTCCGAAGCAATTCCGCCATTTTCGCTAAGAACAGCCTTTGCAGTCACCACATTCTTATCCGAAGTGGCGGCTGTTGATAAAAATGATGGAATTGATAATGAATTAATGGCTGCAACCCTTGGGATCATTGATTTGTCAATTTCAAGAATTCTGAAGGGAAAACTGGGCTTTGGCAAAAAAAAGGACGAAAAGATGGACTTCTCATCATGAAGAACGCTGCCAGGGTGACTTTTGCAAAAAATAACAAAAAAAATGTCCAACAAGGAAGTCCTCCTGTGCTTCATGAAAGACATTTGGAGTGACGAGGCATTTCTGTTAGCCCAAACACTGTTTGAGCTTTAAAATAAAATATGAGTCAATTTTTCATTCACCCCTAAAAATTCAAGTTCCTCCGAATACGTGAAATATATTGGACTTTCCTTCTTGTGCTGAAGAATGTTTTTTCTGAACAATATTTTTTTCCCAGTTCAATGCGGTGATTGTTTTCCAGCTTGCCGCTTCAATTTATATCCCAAGAAGATTCGTTAGACCCCTCGTATATATGCACCACTAGTAATAATCAAATCCCTCATTTTCTTCCAAACTGATCAGAACCTTCCGGATAAATACCTGAAAAAAATGTCAAGTCTTCCTGGTTGAATCCATCGAGTCGGCGGTTTGCTCGGAATGGCATCAAAACCCACTTTTGACGCACCTTGGTTTTTGATTTACACAAGGGCTGTGAAGCAGTCAGCGACGTGGGCGTCGAAGTTGGCAAGTCCGCGGAAGTCCTCCTGCGTTTGTTCCTCCTTCCAACCTTGCACGAAAGGAGTGAACACGAATGAATGGTGCTTCAAGAAAGACATTTGGAGTGACAAGGCATTTCTGTTGGCCCAAACACTGTTTGGACTTTAAAATAAAATATGAGTCAACTGTTTATTCACACCTCAAAATTCAGGTTCCTCCGAACACGTGAAAGATAATTATTTGCCTTAAAGAAAATCACGATTGAACCAAGATTAAACGCTGCTTTTTTGTGTGGCGTAATAGAAATTTTTCGTCACTCTAATTTAATCAATTGAGTTTATTTTCAAGTTATTCATGAAAAAGATTTATGCAGTACGGTATTACGAAAGGTCTAACAAATATTCTCGGAATATAATTGAAACGGCATATGGTCGAGCTGAAAAACACCCGCCTTCTCAGCCACCACTTGAAATTAGATAGTGGCGGCTGTTTAAGAAAATAGCGGAATTACTTTGGAAGACCTGCAGGCAGCCTTTGAAATTAATGCCTCGTCGATTTGAAGAATTCTCAAGGGAAATCTGGGCTAAACGAAAAAATTGCGAGATGGGCGCCTCATCTTTCTAGTGAAGAGCAGAAAGTTGCCAGGGTGACTTCTGCAAAAAATTTCCAGCAAGGCTGTTTTTTTTTTCTTGTGCCAAAGAATATATTTTTCTGAACAATAATTGCTTTTCTTCAGTTCAATTTTATTTTGGTTCAGTTTGTATGCGGAGAACTTTTGTTCTACCCCTCGTATGTTCCGAGTGTTTTAATTCATTCCAAATTTAGCTGCACCTAATTGCATAAGGTTTTACTTAAGCGTAATTTGAAATCGAAATAATTCCACCAAAAATGACTGACTACTGTGCTGTATGTGAAATATAAGTGAGCGATTATTCCACGGACACGGATTTTAAACTCACATAAAAATAGGAAAGGATACTTCGTCTTCAAAATTCGGAGATTGAAACCAAATTTTCATCGTATGCGTTGTTTGTAAAATTACAGTGCTTCAAAATTTTTGTGCTTTTAACGACAGAGTTTCTCATTTGTTTCAATAATGGATCATGAAGTTTCAGTAATCGATTTCCATTCTGCATTTTTGAAGTGTTCCAAAAATTTTAACTCCTAGAATACATTCGCCCGGTTGATAAAGCCGTAAGGTTTTAGTTGCTTTTTTGTAGCCATAAAAAATGCACCCTGTTGGAATCGATTGAAAATGAATCCCTGTTAGTAGATTTGTCTGCGAAATTTTTTTTTTTAATGTACTTGCATCAATTTGGCAGGGTTTGGGTCCTTGTGCGCCCTGATCTTATGCAGTAGTTTTGGAAGTACTGTATGATCCTTCGGTCCTCCAAGATCAGCTCATGTTCTACGTCCAATAAGTTGACTTTAATGAGCTTTAATTTTCATGACTTTTTTTTTTATTTGAAGAACGGTTAAAAAAATTGTCGCATCCTTTGCGTTCATTCCAGCACTTATGAAAATACGTGTTCACCTACGGGAAAGTCCGAATGTTATTTTTCTTCCTGAGGTTGGATTTGATTCGTAGGCATTGCGTGAGCATGTAGGTTGGGTTTCTGGGTTTCATCTTCCTCAAATCTGTCTTCCCTTTTGCTCTGGAAGAAGAATCACGAATGCAAATTATACACTTGGAACTATTTAATCCAGGGATTCACGAGAATATTGCCTTCAAAGTTGCTTGGCCTACTTTCCACTCAATGTTGACGAGCAACAGTTGAATTTTGTTGATTGAAAAACTAATCAAGAAGTGTCCAAATAAATCCATTCTAGTGGTGCTTATTGGTCAACAAGTCCGTCAGCTGCTCCAGAAACACTCATTCTGCGTTGAGAAATATTTTATGAGGTCGACGTTGCTGTTGATGAAAGAAATTGTTGATCGCAAATTTATTCAAATTTGACGGCGGATTAAAATGATTAATTTAAAAACATTATTCTGCCTATCTTCTTGCCACTGTCCCGTTATATGCTCACGATAAAGAGGGATTTCTCTTCAGGCGTAGAAAATATGAAAGATTCATTTCGCACGAACGAAGTACTTTTTTCACGAATTATTGATGAAATCATGAAATGTGATCAGTCGACCAGAATTTCGAGTGATTTCAGAGACGTTGGTACTCTTGTCAAAACGTCCGCCGCCATTCGAGTTCCTATTTTCCATATTTATTTTTACTACGAAATCGTTACGATTTAATGAAATGTGATCAGTCGACCAGAATTTCGAGTGATTTCAGAGACGTTGGTACTCTTGTCAAAACGTCCGCCGCCATTCGAGTTCCTATTTTCCATATTTATTTTTACTACGAAATCGGAAAAGGATGACAGACCAATTAAATTCTACTGTCGAAATTGTAAGACTAAAAGCAAAACAAGTTCAGAGTTTCACTGATTTTCCGTCACGTTTAGAAATAGTTGTCGTTTTTTGTTTTCGAACTATCCGCCAGTAAATTGCTCATCGGAAAGAATTAATTCATTGATGCGTGAATTGAGAAAATTAGATCCAGCACTCGGAACAAATACACAACTCGTGCGTCTTATTATTTTGTAATAAGATCTGCTGGGATATATGCAGTACATTAGCCAGTGTCCAGGAGAACAAAAAACTTATCTCGTCTTTTTATCCAATGGCTTCTCATTAATGTCTTCGGTGCGGCAAACTGCCATCCTTTGTGTTTGTGTGGTACTGTCATTTCCTTTACCTGACGGATTTGACGAGCTCTTACTTGTCAGCGGTGAAGGAAAAGAAAGAATAAAAAAGTGGGCTGGGGTTTTGTGAGGGTTGTGAGATTTATCTTCTTTTATATTTGACTACGAGCTGATCGGGAATTGATTGCCCACAGGAACTGCGGGCGAAAAAATCTAAGTTTAACGAGGGCATCTTATTTTTACATCTACCCGTTAATTTTTAATCAGCGTTGCAAGTGCACTACAGTGTTGAATTTTACTTTATCAAGTTTGTTTTATTTTTTTCCTTGGGATGAACGCCGCTGGAAATGAACGGCTTGGAGCCTGTCGTATATATTTTAATGAACCTGTGCGTCTGAGACAGCGTGAAATTTGATCGCGCATCGGAATTTACCCTCTCTGCTCTGGGTCAACTGCTTCGAGCCTCGAGTCAAAGATGATTGAGATTTTTTCCACCCATCTTGTCAGCGTTTACGAATTATCATTATTTTTTTGCAACTTCCAGGAGTCCGTTACTTCGAATGAATTTTGATCGTAAAATCGGGAACCCCGTTTTAAGAGGTTTAGGCTGAAACTATGTTTCGGTTTTACGCTTCCCGTGTTGGACTCTTGTCGGGTGGATCAAGATGAACTTGATTTTGAGAAATTAATTTTTGCTAATTTCTTCAAAATTGTTAGGGTTCGAGTTTTTTTTACCTTCACGTTGAAATGGTGAGAAGGTTTTAAAAATTCATCCTGTCATTTTAAGAAAGGGAATTTCAAATTACACACGCTTATTTTGTAACTTATTTGTGATCTGTGTGTTATTGAGCATGTTGAAAATTGAAACGCTGACCCAGTGATAATTTCTCAGATACTCAGATGGAAACAAACGATTCAGTATCTTGGCTAATGCTTCTCCGATGTCGGAAAAATCCCAAGGAGATTTACTGGAGCTAAATATTTTAATTGATCCCGCAGTGGTTTGAAATATTTTTGACCAGAGAATTATGAAAAAGGATCAGGTCCAAGTGTATGAGCTGCCTTTGAGGAAGACCGTATTCTAATAAGGCAAACGTGTTCAATCTGACTCGGTGTCCTTCCTTTTCGAATATGGTGAAGCCTCGAGGAAAACAGCGGGGAATGTTGTTGCCTTCGAACCTTCTGCAGCGTGTTAATTTTCATGATTTTTTTCCCCAGCAAAGTCCCGTGTGAATTGAGTGCGAAAATTAATGCTAATTAAATGGCGAATCACGCGCGAAAAAACGATAACTTTTTTAGAGAGTCATGAACGTATAAAAATAAAATTGTGGAAAAACAGTGTGTGTGAGACAGTGTGGAAGTGAGGGAATATTTCGACATACGTTTTCGGAAAGCTTCTGAGGTTAAATTTCAATCTCTGCTAAATTAATTGACGATGCAGGAACGAGAATATTTTTTTTTGAGCATGCCCAAATGTATCCCACCATCTCTCATTTCTCATCGTCTTTCTCTCCTATCCCTGTTGCTGTCTGTGCCATAATTTCTTTCAATTTCACACAGCATTCGCCAAAATTTGACGTTCGATTCCACACAATCCCACTTTTTTCCTAGTGTTATTGTAAATACTCCAGGAAATATTCTTCTTTTTTGTCGGTTAAGCAACGCGTGATGTAATTAAACTTGGATCTTCGATTGTCCTTGATTTGTCGTTTCTATCCATTTTCCGATTTTTTGTGTGCCTCATTCATGGTTGAGGATCTTGATGAACTAAATTGCATAACTGGAATATTTCAAGTGGTTTCGGGAAGGCGATATTCGTCAAAGGAATCTTGAATATTCAGAACCCGTCTTCGAGTATCAGTCTTGGTTGGGGCCAACGATTTTTTTTTACGTCGTGTCAACCACAAAGTTGAATTTAACTCGGGAAGAAAAAGCGATCCTCTCAGAAGCTGCATGTTGGTCATGAGAGAAAAATGTGCCCGTCCTGGTCTTTTCTAACCGCAGGAATTTGATCGAGTCCTTGGCACAGTGAATAGGGATGAGTTCAGGGCCATGACTGAGTTACGCGTATACTTTGTGTAGGCTCGGAAGGGGTCAAATTATTGCCCGAATGTGATTTCTTGAAGTACGAGGCATTTATGTTTTTTTTTCTTCCGAGAGTGTGTGATTCCATTTTGATTGGGACGGGTCTTTTATTTCGTGATGGATCGTAGTTTCTCGTGATGACTTGAAAGATAATGACGATTCTGAGGTTACTTGAAGAGGTCGCTTGAGGGTTCCGGGTAGGAGTGGCCACGTCGGTCCAATTTTTGTATTTATTTTTTATTTCACTTGGAATGTTCAACGCTTGTTTTGGAATCCGGAAGAAAGTTCATGGAAAGGATGACGTGGTTTGCAATAATTTATTTGACTTTCGCGTGGGATCAGTCTTGAGGTTTTTAGTTCGGGGTGGATATCTCATTTTTTTTCATGTGTACGAAAAATGTGGCCGCCGTTTCTCTATTCTTTTCCTTTTTGATGCTCACGTTTAGAATCGAATTTAGTTGCGATTTTTCTTCATCGCTTTGTAATGCAGGATCGATCATATGCGAATGTTCGATCTGTTTCATCTCTTCCAAGATTGAACTTGCAAAATTTGACTGAATTCGAATGGCTTTGTCGCATTACGAGACCGACCTGACCGAAGTTGGCATATTTACTTCAGTTTGTGATAGACCTCAGAAAACTACCTGATTTATCCATGAATCGAACAGTAGAAGAGCGTTATCATGAAAAATATAACAAATTTTGTTGCACATGTTACCATTTGCGTACGAGCAAGAAATCTGAAAAAAAATACACATTCTCCTCTTTGGAAGAAAATTGAAGATTCTTCATAATTACACACGGGTGCCTATAGTTCGTGAGATGAATTCCTTTATACTGGTACGACATGTAGCACAGATTGGATTCCTGAAGCGTCACGGATTATGATTTCGTTGAAATTTTCAAATACAGTAGCGGTTTATTGAAAATCTGATGGATTGGATCTACAAGTTATATCTTCAACTAACATGCAGACTATTTAAAAAAGAAGCCATATGTGATGCGAACCATTCAACTTTCATCATTTGAAGTTTGCCAGAATTATCCTGCCAGTCTTCCTGCTTGACCAAGGAAACACAAATTTCAAATGACCCGCTTTTTTGTTATCCCTTGCTATATGTAACGAAACCCGAACATATCGTGAAATAAGCCATCTCCAAAGTATGATTTTTAGTTGGAGTCTCGAAACGTTTTCCTTTAATGACTATCAATTTACAATTATAAAAGTTGAAGCGCAAATTCTTTGTGATAGGAAAAATTATTGCAGCCGGAATGTAGTCATAGAACTTTGAATTCTGCTTAATATTTGGCAATTTTTCAATTTTGAAATGGAATACATTTTCATAAAATGTCCTCTGAAGCAATCATGCATCAGAGTGTCTTGGTGTGCTATGTTATTCGATCCCCATATCCCTGAAGGAATTCATTTTTACAATTTACGAGTGTGTGTTTACAGTCACGAAGTCAAGAAAAGATTAATAAATACTTGGCATGTATTTTTTGCTGATGTGCATGCGCTTGACAGTGTATTAATCGACGGCGTCCCTGAATTCTGAATCATTCTTTTAGAATTTTCAAGTTGTGGAGAATTTCCACTTTGGAATTCGATTATTAGTTTCTAGCATATCCCGTTTGAAAAATTCTGACGCCTAAATGTCTTCGTTTCGTGGCCGCTCAAGCTTGAAGGACTTTATTTTCACAATTGAAAAGAGGCTGCTGAACTGTGTACGGATCGAGGGAGCCACCGAATTCGGAATCATGCTTTTACAGTTTTTTTTTGCTTTGGCAATTTTTAAATTTGAAATTGAAAAAAATTATATTGGTGTCAACCGCGAAGTATTTTTACCTGAAACACTCGCACGTCTGAATGCTTTGGTGAACTGTATTTTTACGATGCCTTGAACTTTAATTTCAAATTTTTACGATGCCTTGAACTTTAATTTCAAATTTTTACGATGCCTTTAACTTTAATTTCAAATTTAAAAATTTGTACAATTGAAACGAGAGAGTACATTGCCAAGAAGTTGAAACCAAATTACTAAATATTTTGCAAGGCGCTCATTAGAGTATGGATCGACGGCGCCAGCGAATTCTGAATCAGGCTGTTGGAGTTTTAAGATTTGGGAATTTTAAAATTTGAAATTGGATGATAGGTTTCTAGCATACCCTGTCGGAAACACCCTTACGTCTGCATGACTCGAATGTCTCTCCTTCTGCAATTGAGGAAGAGATGGTGCCCTGTCACGCAGTTGAAATCAAATCTCGGAATATTTTGTACCTTGTCAAAAAAGTTGAAAAAATAATTTCTAAATATTTTGCTTTTTTTTTTTCTCAATCACAGGCGTTCGACAGTGTACAGATCGACGGCGTCATTGCATTCGGACGGCAGGAGCTGCAACAGCAGCAGTGGCGGTTCTGCGGGTCCATCGCCGTCTCCATCGAGGTTCAACCACCAACACCACTTTTACAGTCCGTCTTCGGGGCCGGTCGGTGGCGGCGCCAAACGACCGCCGCCACGCACGTCAGTGCCGACCAACGGCAGTCCCGCGCCGCGGCGTCCATCAGCGCCGTCGGGCTTGTCCAACTCCGTCTACGGCACCCTCACGGGCGCTGCGCCGTCTCCGGCACACAGGGGCGCCCCTCACAGCGGCGGCCTTCTCACCCCGGCGTCCAAAAAGTGGTCGTCTTCGTCCGACTTCCACTCGCCCTTTGGCAGTGTCAGCAGCGCCAGTCATCATTCTGCGATGCCCAATAGGTGAGACGAGTTGCTGCTTCGCGGAAAATAGTCGTTGAAAATCTCGTTATAACGAATTACTGCTGACAACGAAGTCCTTTTCCATGTCTTTCCATGCCCACATTCTTGAATAAATTTTTTTTTTTGCAATGAAGCTATTTTGCTGGTCCCAAAATGGCTTCGTTGTGAAGCGATTTTTTAGTTTGTGGAATATTCCGTGCAGAAAAGAGAGATTTCTGGCAAATTTACATTTTTTATGCAGAGATGACGAGAGAATGTTGGTACGAGTGTAAAAGTGCAACGATGTTTTGCAAAAAATCTACATTNATCTTGCGCAATGTTTTGGAACGCGATCCCAAGGGCATCCGGGTCAGTTTACCCCGAGCTAGATACTTTATCGTTGCGATAATGAGCCAGGCTTTCATTAATCAACGGCTCATAAATCTTGTGCATCTAAGAAATACCCTCGCAGATGGTATGAAAAAAATTGTATCACATAAATCTATGATTTCGAAAAGCTGGAGGATCTTCGCCAAGATCAGTCAAGGATTTTATCGTGCGGCATTTCATACATTTCTTGTGTTTTTTTACTATCGTAATCACGTCGGGGGAAAATGAGGAAACCTCTGTAAAAGCAATGGTTTACAGTATTCATAACGTTTTGTGATTAGCGACCGTATATGGAATGATTTCCTCTATTTTCCCTATGTTTGTGTCGTTCCATTTTTGACGAAAATAGGCGTAGAATTTTGCTGGAGTAATTCGATGCAATTTCGTGAAAATTGGGCCAAGACCAACAGACCATGTTTGTCGGATTTCGTTTGTTCTTGTTACATAAACCATGCTGAATTGTACTGTTTTTATTCCGGAACGTTGGACAAAATATAGTACTTCAGGTTTCGAAGTACATGACCTACTTTTTTTTATTAGCCAATGTCGGACCAGAGAAAGCAATACTAATCTGAATTCACGGTGTAGTATGGTTATAATAGGTGACGGATTCTTTAAAATGTAATAAATCCTGTCTGTCGCAGTTGCCCGAAATTTAAACACTGTACTGTAAAACAAATTTGCTGAACAGGGTGAAATTCCGTCGTCGAAAAAGCCGTTGATACTGTGCACATTTTCGCTATGCCGATGTTTGCAATGTTCCGGCCAATAATTCATGGACTCATTGCTGAAAAATATCATTATAATGGAATTTCCCTCGCATCGACTTCGCTTCTTCATGACTTTTTTTGGAGGTCTCCATAATTGTGTGAATAAAAAAATATTTTCACTGGAGAAACTTTGTTGAAGTTAAAAGTACTGTACTTGTATGTTAATCTGCTAGAAAATATTGGTCATTCGTTTAAGTTCGTCGATTTCTTCCGAAAAACCTGTTTTTGAAGGAATTTATCTCATATTTCAGAGAGAAAAAACTGTCACGATTTTTATGGGAATACAGATGTAACTGAATAATTTGTTGGGTCCTTCGAAGTTTCTCGTAACAAGGTTTCGCTGTATTCGTAGTAAATCTAACCTGACCTGTCCTCCCAAAAACCAATTCTAAAACAGCCCCACCTCATCTGACACAACTAAATATAATTTACCAAAACCGTACCGTGAAAACTGAATAATCTCACTATGCGTCTATTTTGCTTCACCTAACCCCTATAATTTACCGAACCGAATGCCGAACTAAGCTACACTGAATGCGGATGAAGCACAACGCTGATGGAAACATGATTGCAAACTGTCTTTTTTTAAATTAGTGACAACAATGTAAAGTGATGCTATAGCTTTAACGCAGGTTGTGCATTGAAGAAGTCCATGTGTGACACTCAGGACCTTTGAATTTATCTGATCATGGGCAGTTAAAAAAAAAAAAAGGCAAATCAAAAGTGGCTTGCTTTCTACGAGTTTTAAGCATTCTGCGCTTTCAAATTCCCTGAATTTTTGTATATTACTGCGTTTGTTTGCACTTCATTTGATGGTTTCCTACCGAAACGCATCTAGTCTAATTTTGAATTTTACCATTTTTAAGACGCAAACATGTACGAGTGTCATCCTCCCAAGTATTGCTATTGGCTCATACTCAAATCATGAATGTACTGAAATAGTTTTCAAGAGTTTATAAATTTCTTCATAACGTACTCCTCACGTGTAAGCTTCACGTTTCTGGGCAATTGCAGGAATTCTATTTCCCGATCTTTTTGTTGCGTAATTTTCTTAATCTTTTCAGATGTTATTTTCAATTCATCCTAGTACCCGAGATTAATATTTATTGCTCCGTTAAAAAGCCCGGCAAAATATTCCGCACCACTGAATGACTCGCTGAAAATCTCTGACCTACTGTAAGGGGTCCAAATACAAATTCATGTTATTTTCGAGTAAGAAAAGTAGCATTCCAAGCGAATGAGAAAGTAATTGTGGATGAAAGCAAGACGCAAATAGTGATCGATCCTGGCTACTGTTGAAATTTTGGCAGAGTAGGTCGAGTTTTCCCATCGAGGCAAAGATAAGTACAGACGCGTTGAATTCTACAGGGTGGGCCAAAAAACAGTGAACCGATTTTTGACCTGAAATACCTCGGCAGTAAATCGAGCTGTGTCAATGAAAAAAAAAAGCCAAATGAAAGCTTGCTCAATTCCCTTTTGAATTGAATATGGTTTATGGTCCCAAGTACCTCAGTGTGGTCACAAGAAACTCTTGAATGAAAACTTACAAAAAAAAATTGCCAGGCATCTCCTTCCAGGCTTCCACTAAGCTTCTGTTTTCAGAGATAAATGGAGTGCAGGACCAATAATTTAACCAGCAAACTTCTAGCTGCCTTCACATTCACATTCTCGTAGGTGCACACATTCTCAAAATTTAGGTGGTGAGAGTGAGACGTTCAAAAAATAGATGGAAATTGAGCAAAGGGGTGTTGCTCCAATCCTGGCTCCTGATGCAGGCTAGCTGGGAACCAGCCTCATGGCTACTGTGATATCCTGCATTTCAATTTTTTGTATAAAACTAAAATGTGTTTATTAGGAATGAAATTGATTTTTGAGCAATCCATTCTTAATGAAGAAATTTGCATACAGGGGGTCACAGGAGCCAGGCAGCTGGCTCTGCAGCAAGTGTAATGAATGTTCAAGAGTGAGATAAATAAATGAAACTAGGTGATTCGGTTGGGCTACAACTGGGGTGAAATTTCACCCTATTGGTCTATTATAAATTTGTTGTAATTCAACATACAGAAACACTTTTCAAATCTTGCAAATTTGCTTGAGTATCACACACAAGAGCTGAAAGTGGAATATTAAAATAATTATAGTAGATTAAAAAATTAATCTAAAAAACCACATTTCTCAAGTAAGACTAAAAAGCACAAAAAAAATTTAGTAGATTAAAAAATTAATAGCTAGTCGGGAAGTGAGCAAAATTTGAGTTGAAAAATTTGATTTGGACAAACAAACGGACAAGAAAGCGAGTTAATAAAAACGTGTTAAAAAAAAAGAGTGAGAGTGAAATAAGGAAAACTTTCCTTCAAGGATCAATAACAGTTTTGGATTTTCCTGAATTTTAGCAATGATACAAACCTTGGAGGTTTCAAGAAATATAGGCGTGCAAACCAGATTTTTTCCCAGTTCTCACAAAGATGTACAAGGACAAGTTTTTGGAGAATTTGAATTCTTGTATTCATTAGATTAGCGTGACAAATTACATACGTTTGCCATTTATTTTTGAGACGGCTAGCTTGCTCCAGGAGTTGGGATTGGAGCAAACATCCCTTTGCTTAATCTTCATTTAATTTTTTGAACGTCTCACTCTCACCACCTAAATTTTGGGAATCCGTGCACCCTCTTGAAGGCAGCTAGAAGTTTGCTGGTTGAATTATTGCTCCTGCACTCCCATTTATCTCTGAAAACAGCAGCTTAGTGGAAGGAGGTGCCAGACAACTACTTTTTTGTTGAAAGTTTTCATTCAAGATTTTCTTGTGACCACACTCTGGCAGTTGGGACCATAAACCATGTAAAATTCAAAAGGGAATTGAGCAAGCTTTCATTTGGCATTTGTTTTTCATTGCCACAGTCACAGTTCGATTTGCTGCCGAGGTATTTCAAGTCAAAAATCGGTGGGAAGGGGGTTTGGTTGTGGAAATCTTGATTGAACCTTGTGAACGCTGAAAAGCGGCAAATGAAGTGTTCTGNAGTGTGGTCACAAGAAAATCTTGATTGAACCTTGTGAACGCTGAAAAGCGGCAAATAAAGTGTTCTGTTCATTGGGTTCCCCTTTTTTTGGCCGACCCTGTAAATGGGAATCCGTCGCGGTACCTCGTGTTCCATGCTCAGTTGTGGTCGCTAATGACTGATTTTTTTGTTAGCATCTTAATTATCTTTTTTTTCCTGCCTTTTTTTCCATTCGCAGGAAGACGCCATCGGGGTCCATGATGAGCTTGGCAAGGCCCAAGCGAGTGTCAGCACACGCGAGTCCGACTTCGCCCCTGGGCGTCAAATCCGCTGCTCAGCGCTACAACAGGTCAGTCATCTTGTGTTCTTCTGTTCCGTGTCATTCCAGCCGATCGTTTTTCATATCTGCGAGACCCCGTCATTATGCGTCAATTGCAAAGAGTGAAAGACTAATGGAGAAAAGGAAAGAAACAAAACTTGAAGTGGAGGGGTTTTTTTTTTTTTTCTTTTTGGTGCGTCTAGCGTGACTTGTAATTTTACTCCCCGCCGCCCGAGGTTCGAAATTTTCTCACTCCATAGGCGTTCACCTCAAGAAAACGATCTCAAAAACGTGTCCCTCTACAGTATTTCTTAACTCATTCTTGACGCAATTTTGTGTATGCATAATGAGCAGATATTGTCGATATTTAAACATAATTCAGGTAAAGTTGAAGCGGATTTCATAAAACAAGCCTTTATTCAAGTACCTACGTGCATCGCGTGGTTTTCCTCCTTTCAGTGTGCATTCTAAAATACCTTGAAAAACCGCAAATTCCTCATTGACTTACCATACGATTGTTTTTGGTACAGTAGAATCTCGTTACAACGAAGCGTGTGGGACCTCAAACGAGCTTCGTTTTACACGAAGGTTTGCTAAAACTAAATCAAAATAGCATGGTGTGATCGAAATAAAACTAAATTAAAATAATAAAAAATAAAATAGCTATTGGACAGCGAAAAAAAATCGTTTTACAGTATCGAGATTTTACTGTACAGTACAGTAATAGGAATTGAGATAATGATTCTTCCTACCGAAAACAAACACATGCTACTGTATTTGATAATTCGTAATTGATCTCGTATCAATGATTCAAAAGAACAAAAACTGTACGTTTTCGGACAGCCCGTGTTTTCAGAGGGTTTTAAAATCTGCTGTCGTGTTTTACATAACCAGAAAACTAATGTACTGTACTGTATTTCACTAGTTAACTCGCCGTTTTCAAAAGTAATATAAAACCGTATCGCTCGAGCTTGAGAAGAAATACTGGGATTAAATTAACTTTTCTTCGTCATGCAGGGAATAGTCAAACAGAGGAATCTACGGCATTCTTCATTTTGAAATAAATAACCAATTCTCCAGAATTTTTATGAATCGTCACGGATCGCCAGTCTTTAAAGACTTGATTCAAGGTCAAATTCGAATTCAGAAAAAGTTCTACGCGAAAATCCACTGAAATAATTTATTTCATAATTTATCTCGTAGAAATGAAAAAAAATACAGTTTAAACCCCCACAAATCAAACAACGACTAAATGCATTGAGATTGAACGCTGTAAAAGTTATTGCTGACCTACTTTGCGAGGAAATCTGGTCACGACCGCTTATTTCGAAAACTTCGGTTGATGATTTTGCACAATAAATCGTTCTACGATTCGTACACCTCGGTTGAATGCAGTAAATTCATAAAAAAGTTTTGAAATCTTGGAAGGACACCCTGACTTTCATCAAACCGTATAGTTATACAGTATCTGAACACCCATTGAGTCATTTTTCCTGTGTACGTGTTTGATTCCCGACAAGCCAGCTTCTAAAAAGTAACGTTGACGCAATGTTTTTTTTTATTTCGATGCTTCCGTTTAGATGTGAATTTACGGTTGAATTTCGGAAATAAAAAAGTCAACGGCTTCTCTGTCAAATATTGGCTAAATGGCCCGTCGAAAGAGGAGGAGTACTGTATGTGCCTGATGGAGATGATGACGATGATAATAATAATGGTGATTCCCGCGTGGCCTGATTACCCGCATTGGGTTTCGCTGATGAAACCCGTATCCTGTACATATACTGCGTTCGCCACACGTGAAGCGCATCGATGTTGGGATGTGCACAAAGGGAACCAGAGACAGAGACAAATAATGTTAGAAAAAAATATTTAAAAAAGGAAGGGTGCGATTTTACGCCGGTGTCGGAATGTGGCAATTAAGGGCGTGTCGTTTCGCTCCAGGGTTTCGCATTCCGTTTGTCACCCTGGTGTTCATTGTTGACGCGCATCCGGAGATGATTTCCCCGACTGCAATTCGGTTGTTTTTTTCTTTCTCCTTATATATTTCTTATTCTTCTCCAATTCCGGGGAAGAGCTATTCAGGATCGAAACAAAAGAGCTGAGGTTTTCAAGGGCCTCTTTGTGATGGTTTCGGCCTGGGAATTCGACCGGGCTTCACGACGGGTTCAACGTCGTGTCAGTGCTCAGTACGGTACTGATTTTACTGTTGAAGAAACAATGTACTTCAGCCTTCCTTTGAAATGGGAATTCTTCTGTTCAAGCAAGCAAAACTTCGGCATCATTACTCGTTTATTTTTTGTTGCACCTTTTCTTTCTAACTCGATCAGTTTGGTTATTTACGTCAAAGATGTCGTTTGAGCTGGTGAAAGAACATTTATAAATTTTCCTCCTTTGTTCTTTGAGAGATTATGACAGGAACATATCTTTTAACGAACCCGACGGGACTTGAATGGACGATGTTTGACTCAGATATTCAGTTGCAATCAGATTTAATCAAGAATTATCTACAACATTATCTTCGTAAATCTGTCATTTACGTGCATTCAGAAGCGATGACATGTCGAATGCTTAATATAATAGCTAATTATTTTTATAAGATTATTTTCTAAATGTCCACTTCTTTGTGTTGAAGTAGATTATTAATTTGGTAATTGTTATTGTCTGAACGTCCGAAGAACATTTCATACGTTCCAATGTATCAAGAAAACGCGCACTTGCTGAAGAACCAATTCAATATATAGTATTACTGCTTATAACATCTAGTTAAGCATCTAGTTTTAGTTTATCCAGTTGCAGTTTTTCTGTGTCTCAAACTCTAAGCGACCTTCACGAATATTTTTTTAATGTCATTGATGGGAACGTTTTTGTTCTTCAGGAGAAAAAAATCCTTACATTTTTAGCTTCACTGGGGTATGCAACCTTAAAATTCGTTAACGTAGATAAAAAACTTTCCGCTAAACGTAGAAAACAAACAGCATCTCTAAAAAGTTACCGTTTTTCAATTGTTTACAAGGGGTATTAGTTCAAACAACTCGGATTAAACGGGATTTTTCAACACAATTTTTATGACGTGTTCTTGATTCAAATTTGGTCTGGGCTTCAGAAAATTTTTCTACGGAAACCTTTTTTTCATTTTTCTCGTTGGAAACTTCGATTTTTCTCTGGATGAAGCAGTATAGTCCGATGACATTTGACTAAACTTCGCGAGGTGCCTTTTCCGCCGAAATATGTTGTATTTCACCCGATAATAACTGCGGTTAATTTGGTTCTAGTTTTCCTTTTCGATAAACAAAATCGCTACCGATGGGAAGTAAAAGTACTGTGCTTTACTAGAGCTTCGTAAGACCGATATGGAACAGGTGGTAGAGTTGGAAAATTGCGTGTTGAATGGAAGCATGTATTTAGAATTGCGTGCAACAACCACCTGATCACTCATTCGATTAAAAATGCGTCAGGTTTTTAAGAATGAAAGTATATTTTTTGAACATAAGGCACTGCTTCACGATTCACTGGATCCTTCAATTTTGTGGGAAATCTTTTGGATTTTTTTTTTGCTGCAAATTAATTTTCATGACGGAAAATCTAGGTATTTTTGCCAATTTTTCTTTTGGATAGAATCTTGCATTTTTCGAAATTACATTTGGCCAGATGGCTCCCATCTATTTTTCTTTCTTGCTATATTTTTTTCCTCTGCCATACTTTTTAATTCAGAAGTAAAGTTTAAATAGAAGTTTTTTGTGCGTTTTTAATTAAAACTAAAATACGAATTTTATACTTTACAACAGCACAATAAGATGCTTTTCCAATGTGCCGCAATCCTAAATTCAAGATCGACAAAATTACTTTTTCTGCAAGGTTTTATTTGCGTCGCAAATTCACGAAGAATGTACTGTGTGAATTTGAGCATGCAGAAGCACTAGGTACTAATCTAGCATATTTACTCCGACATATGTGGGCATCAAATACGATTTCGAAGTCGTAAACCGCTAATTGCACTTTCTTTCTCGCGAATTATTTAAAGTACAGTACTGTAGTCGTTTTATAAATTTCGAGAGCTACAAGTATTGCCATTTTTTTAAAGTCCCGCCCTGAAACACTAAATATTCTTCGAGTTTGGAAAGAATAGCTATTAAATTAGGTAAAAGTAGGCTAAAAATGCGAAAGAAACACAAACTGAAATAGTCGACTTTACCACAGCAGATAACCGACCTTTAAAGTTCAGAAACTTTTCCTTAGCTTCACAGAAGACCTATCCCCAAAGGTCTCAATCCATTTCCTGAAATTAGTTGCTCTGATCTGAGATTGTTACTGAGCAACATCGCAATGATGTACATGTTGCAGAAATAAATTCATTCATCAACATTTAGAAACAAAGCTTTTGAAGTCACTGTTCGCACCAAAAGCTTGTGCCTCAATGAGATAAGAATCTGGCATGAAGGTTTTCCAGATTCTTATCACCGAAGAAAAGGTAGGTTTAGAAAAGTGGGAATATCTCAATATCTGTCAATCGGGGCAAATTTTATATGATGCAAGAAAAGTTGAAGAACATCTTTGGCTTCAATTTAAGATGTTGTGGAATTTTCTATGAATAAAATTCGCGGAGTTATTTGCTTTGGAAGTTTGCAAATTGGGAATTGTGCCATAGGCGAAGCATCTTTTCTTCGCTAATTTTATTTCTTTTTGAAAGCAAGTTTTTATTGCACAATGCCAGATTGTATTTGCTGATTGTGTGTGTGATTGTTGTCTTCATGAAACCTGTGATCAGAGACAATAAAAGGAGTCCTCTTTCAACATCCAAGGAGTGAGGATGCTCCAGCTTATCTCATTTTTCTGCAGCCGTAATGTAGTTTTGTACTTTTAAAATTAAATCCCCCTGGAGGCTGGGTAACTGCCCCAGCACTCAGATGTCTCTTGCATCTGGAATATTTGTAATGCAGCTTAAAATCTGCAGCATGTACAGTACGGTATTTCTCTTTTTGAAGCATATTCTTAGGTCTTGTGCTCACGTACTGTATTTCTTAATTCATCGTCCTTCTCTCGGACCTTTCTTTCATTACAACTGAACTAAATACGCACCACGTCGGATATGTTAACCAAGCATGCATGCATCCGCACTGGGAAAAGTTTGACCTTTGGTGCATAGGGTGAAATCGTGAACGGAGAACGATTTAACTTGCAGAATAAGGTTTCTTCGCTTTCTTTTGATCCCGAATTGTATTCCGTTTCCTTTTCTCGTCCACAAGGAGTCCGTTCTTCAACTTTCAAGAATGGAATGGAAGAATTAACGGGAATGACGCGGCGGTTTGAAACCCTGTGTCGTGACTGCCAGTTTATTCTTTGATACCTTGTGTGTCTTCCTGGTGTCGAATGAAAGTTCCAGGCAGAAATGATCGCAAATACCCATTCGTGATATTCGTAGCGATTGGAAAATAAATGATCTTGTAATTGCAGTTGATCATTTCCGTCCTCCAAAACCGAGTCGAGAATCAGAGAATATCGGGATATGTCAAGAAGTTTGAAACTTTCATCAGGTTAAAATAAAACTTGAGAATTCAGTTGGGCTACAACTGGGGTGACTGAACACCCTATTCTGTAGTTGATCTATTTTTTTCTGAATATGTTTTACAAAACACCAAGTTTGCCGAGTACTCTGGTGATCCTTGCAGTGTTTCTGCTCAAATCGAAGTGAAGGTTTTTTGGTAGAGATTTTTTTAAGAGTTTCTTTCAAGAATGTGGAATATTTCCACTGAGATTGTAGTTTAGATATCAAGTTTCCATTTTTACAGTTTATGTTTCCAGCTGCTTTTAGTTTCTCAAGGGTCAAAGATTTTATGACCATTGGTCCTTTGCAGATTCCCATGGCAGTTGGCGTGAAACCCAATTTGCATGGAAGCTTCCAAGGACAAGTTTTGGCAAAGCACCAAAACTTGTCCTTACATGAATTGGCGGTGGAACAAATGTAATACTGGTGCTCTCTTTGACATATTTAGTTTCAAAGATGCAGGCAAACTTGATAAATTGCTGTTTTCCTTGGAACGGCTGTCTAAATTCGCAACACCGGATACAAACTGAGTATGTCATTCATCAATAATAAAAGCAATTTTTTTGCTCTGTGCTCGGGCGGTGGGAATTGGTTAGAAGTCAGACAATGATAGGACTTTTGAAATACAGTACCTGTACCTTGAAATCGGGTTTTTTGTGAAAAAAAATTTTTTAAGGTTTCAAGCATGCTCAAAATTTGTAATTCATGAGCATTGTACTCGCTAAAAATTAAAATATTTATATGGAAGTTTTACAAAACACGTGACATAAATTACGGTTTCTTCCAATCCCTGATTCATAATGAAAATCACCGGAACTTGTCCCTTAATTCACATCAAAAGTACTGTATGCGCTAATTTTCCTCCGTTTTCACGTGAAAAGCCAGTTGTAAATACAGAATTTCTTGAAAATATCACTTTTTCGAAATGATTTCTATTAATTAAAAATCTGCAATAAACGGACACGTGTAATCAAAGCGAAATAATGTACAAATTAATTTTCCGAAGTGTGTGTGCATCTGAACTTTTTCTAGAACTTCAAGGGA